TGCGATTCACCGCTCCGAGGACCAAATCATACAAGGTGATTCGCCGTTGAGGCTTGAGCGGGGCTTGAGACATCTCATTCAGCATTCCATGAAGAACCGGTCGATGGCGGAGAGGCAGCTTCCCGCGGTACGAGAAGGGTATCCTGGGGACCCAGTGGAGGCAGAGCAGTTACACCTTGCCCTTGCTAACTCTGCTTGTTCTAACCACTGGTTCTGCTACCCTGATCGAGTGTTTCCCTAGTTGTTCCTACGAGGCATCCAACTTCGGGCGAGTTTCCTCTCAACCAAAGCTCACAGGAATCACAAGAGAAGTTCTGAGGATGTATTGTGTCGGGTCGTTCGTCTTTTCTCACAGCCTTATGCAATTGCTCACTTCTGCTCATGTATCTGATGAAGAATTCGCGACAGATTTCGAAACGTCAACCCAATATAAGTGTTGTCCCAGCGATCGAATATGCTTCTTCCTCTCAAATGCGATTTTGATTTACTACGATGCCATTAGGGACAAATTCCAGGAAAACGAATACTTTTAAATAAAAACAAACTAGCATGGACTTCAGATGTGAATTCTGGATGTTGGGGGTTAACCCCGACGGTGTTTGAACCAATCAAACTGCCTGAGAACTTCCTTCTAGTAAGCTTACCGAAATTGTTTTGGTCGTTGTTATCTTAGTAACGCAACAGAATTTGATTTTTGTCATCGGAAAATCACCGAGAGAGTGTTCGAGGAGTGAAGGGATATTTCCGCTGCGCTGGTTTTTTGCATTAGTACCACTTGGCCAAATGATCGGGAAGCGTGTCTAGTAAACGCACGTTAGGGGTGAGTTCAGCACAACCAATCCAATTGGCTACAAAAAATAATACTTATATTTTCGAGTTATCTCTCGCTCTCTCGTATACGCTATATCATACTGGTAGCGCAGATACTATACATGGGTTTAGACACGCTTAAGTATAAGGGAGATTGGTGTAAGACTGGGTTGAGTGTCAGCGACCTGAACTGACACCTGATCCCTCTTGAACCAGCAAACTACTCTTAAATGTTTTGTCTGGCTAAGAGCTTCCTTCCCATAAGTGCTGGAAAGCATAAGAACGGTTTGTGTCGTTGATTTCTTTAGTAGAAAATATAATTGGATTCTGGTGCGTTTTTTCGTTAACGCACGTCAGTTAACTTCACCGAGAGCGTTGGGGAGGGGGTATTAGGAAGGCAATCACTGTTTGCGCTGAAGTGGTTTCTCGTATGAGTGCTACCTGGCTAGCTGTACAGGAAGGTTGTCTGTCGCTGGGCGATACCATCTCGCATGAGTGGCGCGTGGGCCACAATGCTGATCAGTCGTTTTTTGTTATTGCCTCACGCAATGGCTTCAGCCCTTGCAGATAGTGTAATTTTGAATTACCGCGGTACCGTTGAGAACAAATTCCACACAAAAGAACGATTTGTCGTGGGAAAAAAACCATCCAGGACTTTAATTTTGATTCCTGGATGTTGAGGAGTGATCCCAACGGAATGTTTCATCTTCAAAGGATATTCAACCATTTTTGAACCAGTCAAACTAGCTTAGGTCTTCCTTTCCGAAAGCTTCCCAAAACATTGAAACTGTTTTGGTCGTTGTTATCTTAAGTATGAAAGACAATTTGATGTTTGGCAGAAAATATTGCCAACAAAGACAGGCGAGACTGGAATGGTCAGTTCTAGCTTATTCGCCATCGTCAGCCAGCCATACCCAGCTCACAATGATGCACCAACCGAGCCTCGAACTCGCGACCTTTCTGATCAGCTTCAAACGCCCTAACCATTGAGCCACGAGCTCGTTGTCTAGTTGGTTTAGGTAAGGGTATATTGACGCTCATTGGTCAACGCGCTACTTACCAATAACGGAACTCATCTGTCCCGCTTCGGCAATACTATCTGCCTACATCCAGCTGTTACGGCTATCAGAGGGACAGATGAGTTTCGTTTGTGGTTAGATGAGCGTTCATCAATGAGAATTTTATGTGTTGCTTCATAAAATCGCCGAGGGCATTGGGGGAGAGAGGGATTACTAAAACAATCACTCTGTCCGCTGCGAGGGTTTCTCGCATCAACGCTACCCGGCCAGCTGATTAGGAAGCGTGTCTAGTAAAAGCACGTAAAGGGGGAATTCAGCACAACCAATCCAATTGGTAACGAAAAAATAATTCTCATATTTTTATTTCTCGCTCTCTCTTATGCGATACATCATACTGAAATGAGCGACCTAAAGTGACACCTGACCCCCCTTGAACTAGCACACTGCTCCTAAATTTTTTGCCTACCCATAAGCTTTGGAAAACAGTAGAACGGTTTGTGTCGCTGTTTTCTTTAATAGGAAATATGGTTTGATGTTGATGCGTTTTCTCGTGAAAGTTTGCCATTGAAAAATCACCGAGGGCGTTTGGAAGGGGGTTTAGGAAAGCGATAACGCTTTGCGCCAGGGTGGATTCCCGTATTAACGTTACTTGGCTAGATTTGCAGGAGGAGTATCTGTCGCGAGACGCTATTGTCATTACTAATGACTTGTATACCGTTAGTCACACCGTACTGGGATCCGACGACAACAACCGGTGGTTATCTGAAATCAGTTACAAAATCCCACAACCTGCTAATCAATCACCAACACGTCAAGTGACGACGGGGCTTTAGCGTTGCGCCCAATAGGTTCAAACAAAAAGGACAGTTAAGAAAAAGCGGGCGAGAATGTTAAAGGTCAGTTAGTCTGGCTGGCTGCTCGCCTCCTATGAAACTTGCACGTCGGCCGGTTCGGGCAGTGAACTGGGAAGGGCGCGTGAGGTCAACTCCGGAAACTCCATCCCCACGGCACTCAGCTCACATATTACTTACTACAATCAATTAAGTGGCTTGTCCTAAACGCTGTAACTTGCAAATCTGCCACCTGACTGGATAATTCGGCCTTCAGTACGCAGAGCCAGGCTGCACTGGTTCCTTCTTATAACTCCCGCTCGGTTGGGTTCCTAGCTACTGCTTTGTTATGAATGCAAAATGCCGGTTCATTGTACGTGGATGGGGCGTATATGATACAGGTAGATAGCTGGCGTCAGATCCCGTCACCAGTCCTCCTACCTCTATAATGACACCGAACTCAGGTGGGTGAAGGAAGACACTGTGAAATTTTATCATTACTATAACCTAATTTATCCGCGAATTACTGCGCCCATCCTGCTGTGAGGCCCACATCTTCCATAACGACGTTGGAACCATCATAGGTTTGTAGAAGAAGTTTAGACATTCCGTCAGTTCACATTGTTCCGTCCGCAAAGGAACTGCTCTTGTGGTAGTATTCTATGGAACAAAATTCCAAGATATCAGTATAGTTACCAGCTGCCCCAATGAGTTTCCAAATATTATTTTGAAATATCGGCCGAGAATGTTATAGATCAATACGTTTGGCGCCTTGGCACATGTCTAGTCAACGTACTTAGTAGCAGCAGAGCAGACAGCACTTCCAACCTGTGTACCTACGGAAATGACTTCTCGTTTGTTGGGGTACCCTCTGTCTCATTCGCCATTATGAGTGCACTCGCCTCTGATCAGTACACCATGTCTCAGTGTTTAATACTCCCTCCCTCTCCCTCTTTCTCTGTGCCTTCCCCTTTTCTCATCCAGTTCCTCAGACTCGCAGTCAGAGTCCGAACTCGACATAAGACCGGGACGTCCGATCAAAAAGGTGACTTATGCAGCAAAATCTAGCCAACCGGGCGGCTCAGGTGCTGGCGAACTGGGGACGCAACAACAGAGACAACGACACCCTTCAAAAAGACGGCGCAGACGGAGATCACGAAAGCATCGCCGAAGGCCTCAGACGAAGGACGCTGCGTCGACCAATCAGACGCCAGCGACAGGTCGCCATGCCAAGTGCTGTGGCAATAGCAAAGTCCTTCCTGGTGCATTAGCGCATATGTCAAAGGTAGGCCAATGTTTGCCTGGTGAACCACCTTTGTTTCTTGCTAGGCCTGGGGAAAGGAAAATAATTTGGTACCATAGCGTGCCCCGGTCGGAAAGGTTCCCTAGAGTAGAGGGTGTAGCATTTGCGTCGTTTCGTACACAGGGGCGGCTCCGACGCACCATCTACCTGCGTCCGATCCCGCCTCCGGCCTTCTTGACTTCGTCATGACACCGGAAACAGGTGGGTGAGAGTGAGAGAGGGAAGTGCGATAGATACTTCGCAAGTCTACTAGCACTTAAAACTTATCCATGCGCAAGCCAACGTTCCTGCACTACCCAGCTGTGAAGCATACGGTGGACAGTCCAAGTTTTATCAGTCATACTGTATGTTCTATGTATGGTAACTAATTCAGTCCTTATTGATGTCTGTCGCTATTTCACTTTAAAATTTCCTTCTGAAGAGCCAATAGTCTGACCGGTAAGTAAACTTTGGGGCAAAAGTAGCTTATGTAGCCCCACTCATATAC